TAGTCTTTGTTTAAGCTTTACAGATGCTTTTCCATTTTTTCTCTTTTGTAATCCTTTATTCTGGCCTACAGCTTACACATCTTCAAAAAATATAGGGTACCAAATATACAAATTACCAAATATCATTAAAATCTTTCAAAGGTGTACAAATAGTGCTTTTCAGCTGAAACGCCCTTTACAAAAAAATTGAATTAAAAATTTTAAATTTAGAAAAATTTTTCATATTTCTTTAATTTTCTTCAAAATGATTCTAAATGTTGTATGTAATATAATTTACTTCACGTTGATATTCAATTTTACTTTTTCAATGATAAATAATCCGGTTGATGATAATAGTAGAAACATTGTTAATAATAATCAAGGCGTTGGGACTCTAAGTTTTCGAGGCCTTGAATTTGGAAAGACTCAAGATTTTGGAATGACTGACGATGATGAAGAAGATGAAGAGTTAGAAAATGAGTACTTTAATATCACACCAGTTAATATGACAACAAGTTCATTTAAAGCTAGGGTAATTCTCAAATTGAAATTTTATTAAGCGGTTAACCCAGAGGTTTGGTTAGTAAGGGTATCCGGATCCGAAAAAGGATACCGAATCCGGATATAAATCCGGATCAAAAAAGGCAGGATATCCGAAATTTTCGGTTCGGATTCCGGACCCGGATATCCAAAGATATCCAACTATCCGCCAATCTTATTAGTAAGGTCTGAATGTATAGGATTAGTATGATATTCGTTCTGTTTAATTTTCAATATTTTTATAGAAAGGTACTTCAAGCTCATCATTCAAATCGAAAAATGATTTATCAACTTCATTTAAAACGACGGTAATTATCACTTCTCTTTAATCTTCTTTCGATTTAATTTTCAATTTTTTATAGGAAGGTTCTTCAAGCTCATCATCTCACTCAAGCTATCGTTCTCGCAAGTCAAAAGACAAGCATTTGGTTGGGTATACTATTAAGGAAGGTACCGGTTTTAATGAAGAATATAATCCTTATAAACCAACGACACCTGAAAGCGGAGCAGTTCAACTGAGTCCGCACGATTGAGTCCCCACGATTGAGTCCGCACGATTGAGTCCCCGTTGTATATACCTCAATTGAGTCCCCGTTAAAAATTCCCGGTAGGAATTTTTATTTTCCTAGATTTTTTTATTGTTTTTTTTTATTTTTTTGTTTTTCTTTTGGGGTTTGCAACTAATTTTGTTAATTAGTTGACCGAGCATCCACTCAAGTCCATCCGAGCACTGAATTTTCTCAATGAGGACGAGAGGGAGGACGAGAATCTTGTGTAGGTAAAAGTTTAATTTTTATTTTTTAATTTTAGATTTTATATTTCAGGTTGGTCTAACTTTGCTCATCACGTGACGGACTTCATCCCACGGCTGCAACGATGGGAAATTTGAAAAGGTTTGGAATTTTTATTTTGTTTTTCGTTTTTATTTTTAAAATTTTTTAGTTGATTTTCGTCAGTTTCTGACTGGCGATTTTCAAGTTCACAGTTTCTGAAGGAACGAAGGTGGTGAACTTAGGAGAACAAAAAACGAAAGAAAGGCCCTTCTTTGGCACAATAATTGAAGCTAGACTTTGGTTTTTTTTAATTTTTTTGATAAAATTTTTAAAAAATATTTTTTTATTTTTTTTTTCACAATTTGATTTTCTCCCGTATCCAGGTAAATTCTGCCGGAGTCCGGAAATTAGGAAGGAGTTTTTACGTTCGTAATTTAGATAGTTTCCCCTACCCTCCATAGCAGCACAAAAAGTTTTTCCAGCGAAGATTCTGTTGGTCAAAATTTGTTCAGAATCATTCAATCAACTTGATTTTGGTCTTATTCAACTCATCTCGTCGATCCCTTTCGAATGAGCTATTTTTTGTTTATTCGAATGTTTCGCAACAAAAATTCCCCATGGAATTCCACCAAAAAATCCACCATTTCGAGCCCCATATCTCGGCGAGAACTTGTTCAACAATGTTGATTTTGGTGTCATTCGACTCACTACTTTCGAATGAGCTGTCATTCAAAAAATCTCTCGATATCCCTCCTAATCCCCAAACCCACAATATCCATCTTAATCTCTCCGAATTTGTTGATATCTGCCTTAATTCAACCGATATCCCCGCTTAAATCTACTTATATCCCTTGATATTCACCAATATCCATCTTGATACCTCGATGTCGCATACAAGTCCCCTGATATTAACATTAATCCCTCCAAATCCCCAAATATCCCTCTTAATCTTTTTTAATATAATTAAATCTAGGGGACTCAATTGAGGTATATACAACGGGGACTCAATCGTGCGGACTCAATCGTGGGGACTCAATTGTGCCGGGACTCAATCGTGGGGACTCAATCGTGCGGACTCAATCGTGGGGACTCAATCGTGCGGACTCAATTGAGGTGTACCGCCTGAAAGAGCTCCCGGCAAACACTATAATTATGACATGAATGAAAGTTTTAAGAAGAAGAATAATGGATGCTGTATTATTCTTTAATATTTCTGGGATTTTTTATCTTATTCTGTAATTTTACTATATTTCTAATTCAACAACCACTAGTTGTGGTCAACTTGTTTCAACAAATTCATAACTAACATTTTCTACTTATAGCTGATATTTCTTTCAAAGTTTAAAATTCCTAAGATCGTAAAATTCCTAAAGTTCAATCGAGGATCCATTATTTTATTTCATCTCAAAACATATTGTCAGCTTTTGATATCATCATTAAGTGATGAGATGGGATTTTTATTAATCCGATTGTTAAATTTCATAATTTTGTTTTTAGACATGAGTGAGGTTTGACTAAACTACATTTTTTGACTAAACTAAAAAACCATTTACGACTTGTAAATCCTATGTCGAGTTATTGAGAAATTCCTTCAGTAAAGCAGCTGGGCTATAGCTATTTCTCTCCTTTAGCTAGTGCAAAAGGTTAATCCTCAGCTGGGAGCGAACCAGCATCTTCAGTAGACCGGACCGATGTATTAGCCATTACACCACGCCGCCTACTCCACAGCTTTAGGAATTAAATAGCTATATGCTTTACAAAAGTATAAAATTCATTTTAAATAAATACAGCTTCAATAATAATTTAACCATAATAATTATCTTTTCTGGCCCCAAAATTTTGTCAAAAAATTTTCGCTTGTTTCGCCAGGTGGAGTAAAAGCAAAGGAAGAGTATTTATAAGGTGGAGTCGATGGAGAATTGAAACTTTTTGTTCGCGGTAGCAAATGTTGACGCATATCTTCACTAGCTTCATTTGAAGGCGAAATTCTGAGCGAAACATTAATTTTAAGCTCAACGGTTATATGGATTAGAGACAGGCGCGTGACGAAATACCGCCGGGATTTTCCGGAATCACGATCCCGAAATACCGGTTTTTTTGTTTCGGGATCTTCCCGGATCCGGAATTTTCCTGGATTTATTCCTCGGGATCCCGTCCAGGCATCGGTTAAGAAAAAATCCCGATTCAGGATCCGTGAGTTCGATTTTGCCAGTCCTCTAATATGGATCTCCTACTTATGATAAGGTCCTACTTATGATGAGGTCCTATTTATAAGGAAATCCTAGATTACGGTATATTGTCCCTTATATTATCTTCAATTATACTTACCCCATTGAAGAACCGACAGATGGAAGAATGTTTAATGAATAGCGCCGAATTGTGTCAGATCGAAATTGAATGTCTTGAGCAATTTCGTTTGTATGTTTGTTTCTAGTTTCTAAAATTTCAAGGTTTAATTAATAAGTTGAATAAATAACCTGGTAACAGAAAGTAGACAAAACAGGTACTTATTGCACTCACAATTATGAACGGTAGGTAACTTGCGGAAACGCCGACCCACTAAAATATGAATTATCAAGCTTATCAATTATGATACTAATCTCTATAGTTCGATTAGAGGAATTGTTTAATACAAAATTTGCTAAGATTCGAAAATCTTGAAGCAAGTTATAGCTTTGCGCCGTTATGGCCGCGAGCCTACTTGGGCTGTACCCTGTTAAATGCTCGTACAACTCAATTAATAATATCTTATTTCTTAATATCATGGAACCATGGACTTTAATCCTACGTGGAATAAACGAGATGAAGTTCATCAGTACCTGTTTAAATGGTAAATAGGCCAGCGATATAATAAATACAAGGCTCCAAGCTACTGAAATTGCTATAGTAACAGCACTTGAACGATACTTAATTTAATATGTCAAATCATTAGAAATGTTAATAAACTTTAGTCGGAAATATTTCGCTTGCAATCATCCAAGGTATTGGACTTCCAATTCCATACCCACACATGTAAGCAAGTAATGCGACAATTGCACCATAACTAGCCAGCTTTATCTAAATTAAAATGTTTGATTTATAATTTTCAGTACAAATCAGAACAAATTCTAACGTTATAATAAGCTTGTGCCCATGTAAATATGCTCATAGCCGTTAACGAAGCAGTTACTGTACTCAGCTGGAAAAGTGATAATACTCGTCGTCCCTTTCGCTCTATAAGATGAACGGATGAACATGCAAAAAGAAAGTAAATTATGCTGATCCCAAGAGTGCTGAATCGTGCAATTTGACTAAAAAATAAATTTTTAACTATAGTAAGTTCCGACTGTTATAGACTTACGGCTCGAGGCCAGCATTTAAAAACATATTAGTAGAATAGGCAAAGATTGCAGCTGCACCAGTAAATTGTTGAGCAACCATTACCCATACACAGATTATTAATGGCATTCGTAATTCTTTGCTTGTGAATAAATAGGAGACGGATATATTCTCATTCGTCTGAAAATGTTTGAATTAAATTGGATTATTAAATACTAAGTAAATCTGATCAACTCACATCCGAATTGGTTTTCTCCCTAATTAGATCTTCATACATTTGTTGGCCCTCATGAACATCCACTAATCTTCCTATATCGTTTAATGTTGCGACTCTATCTTGTTTGATTAATAGTGAAAACTACAAATTATTTTCCACATTCAGAATAATTCTCAAACCTTTGGACTTTCTGGGCAAAATGGCAAAATACAGCAGAGCAAAAAGGCAGGTATGCCTGGAAATCCAAAAGCTATAGGCCATGTTTCGTCTCCACCAAATACCTAACAAAAACTTTATCAAAAAAATTTATTATTAGACCTCAGGTAATGCTAATAACATCGAAAACCAGTCAGAAAATGCAACAGCAACCTTGAGACCAAGCGTAGATAATTATTATTAATATTAATATTTACCATATGGCACGTGCCCGCAGATCCTCGATATTTCGTTGGGGTTATCTCCATTAAATACATTGGAACGAGACCAGATGTAAGACCCATATTCACCCCAAGTATTATTCGACCAATAACGAGAATCTTAAATTAATTTGGCTGTTGTATTAAATTTTTAAATCAAACCTCTGGAGATGATAATGGTTTGGCAAGATATTCCAAAAAAGCACCGATCACATTAAAAATTCCATTAAATATTAATCCGTTTCTGCGTCCTAATCTTTCTGACAATGGCCTAAAATTAACTTGAAAGACTTGTGAATTAATTTAATTAAATACTTTGTAGAAAGCGCACCAAAAATAGCACCAATGGCAACGCATGAAACAATCATTGACCATACCATATTCAACTCTGCTTCAGTCTTTAACTCACCGCGCGAAGAATATGTTTGATTCAGCCATTTTATGAGCGTACTAATAAATGTTGGAATTAGTAAATATTTAGAATTATTAAATTTTGATTCTGCTGTTTTCGATAACCGAGATTTTGAAATCGTCTTGTTCCCCTAGTTATCACTATCTAAACGTTATCACCCGAACATATTTACCCGAACATTATTAAAAGATTGTCGTTTTGATGTTTAATTTAGAGAACCTGGATCTAAATCCAGACCTAGTTTTTTCCTGAATCTAGGGTCAATCTCAAAGCATCTTTCAATGTTCCTCAATTTTTCCTAGACTTAAGGACTCATATATATAAACAAGATCCTCAACCAAGATCAATAAAGATCGAGTTTTTTTCAAATTTCTGATCTCTACATAGTTTATTTTAATTTTTTAAATACCCACGTCTGAGCTGGATTAATGACATCATATCTTAATAAAAGTAATCATTATCATTTGAAAAATAAGTAAATTATACGTATAAAATTGAGCCGATCCTCCAATTATTACAGTTAAAACCGAGACATAATAAGTAAATGTAAACATAATTTATATTTATTACCAACTGTGTAAATAAATGAGAATTTGGCAATAAGCAACAAAATCAATTTTGTCCGATAATATGTAGGAGTAATTGGGCAAAAATAGGGACAATTGTAATGTCCGCAAATTTTTTAATCCCAAATAAAAGTAAAAAATCTAGTGATCAAAGGTCATAAAACCAAACATTAAATTTCATTCCACATTGATAATTTGAATCTGAACGTTCAAAATTTTCACATTTAATTCATGACAGATTTTACTTGTTTATATTTAATGTTTCTTATCAGTTTTAAGTCAAGGAAACCACTAAAACGCATAAAAATGTTCCAAAATTAGATTTCAATTATAAATTTGGTCAAACAGGCAAAAAATTATGTCTCGATAGGTCTTTTTTAGAAATTTTAATGATAATTTGATAAAAAATAAGTTATTAATATTGAAAAGTTAAACACTTGACAACTCAAAATCTGCTTACGATATTAGCAAATTAACAAGAAAAATTCATAAATACATAATATATAATAGTTGAATAATTAAATTCTAAATGATAGAAAATATTGTAGGTTTGGCTTCTCTGCAAATTGCATAAATTAGGTTTTGAGTGTTTTATGAGTCAGAGTTTTAAGAAAAAGACTAATTTTTAACATTTAGAGTCAGCCTATACTAATTTAATAATACCGAGGAGATGATCAAAAATAATTAAAATTAACTATCTGAAAATTTATACAAAACTTGAGTAAAGTCAAATCTTGATGTGAAATAATAGTGAGAAATAGCCGTATAATTATGTACTAATTTGCGTCATTTTTAAACTGTGCCATTTTCTTGTGTTCTATAATTAAAAATGTTAAATCAAATTTATATTTGATTATGTAGGTCAGAGTAATTGATACCCTTTTCTTATAAACCTTAATAATGGAGTTGTTTCATCACAAGATCGAGTATCCTTTACTGGTTGAATTCGCATTGGTGATTGACCACTGGTTAGTGATCTGGCCCTCTGTCGGATTTCCCTAACAATGTCCATTGCTTGTTTTCCTCGTGTTTCTATAAATTGGAAAGGAATTCAATTCGCGTTTAATGTTCAAAGAACCTGGTAAAACCCAATATACAAAAACAGCTCCACATCCACTAACAATAATGAAAGGTACATAGCTTAATGAATTGCCAACAAGCTAAATTAAGTTATCTTTTTATCAGCCCATTAAGTTGAAATAAGAATGTTAGCTTATACCTGCTGAAAAGGTAGATAGCACGTCGAGACAACAAAGGATAAAGACCAGGCAACGGAAACCGCGACTAAAAGGATTTAATGAGAACATGAGCTTTAGAGATAAATCTACCAGTAATTGCAGAAGCTCTGTATTTGGTAGGAAACAATTCTCCAGTTATTAGCCATGGTACTGCGCACCCTATACCGTATACACACATGTAGAAAATTAGAGCACCTATAGTTGCATAGCCAGCCCAAACATGCTAATAGTCACTATTATTTCTAGTTTTTAATGCAGAAAATTACCCCTCCAAAGTTTTGTAGCCACATGAAGAAGCTGAGAAGTGTAAGTGATAACGAGCACATTGATAATTGAAACTTAAAACGTGTGAATCTTTTAATTATAAAATTATTTACGATCAGAAGAATTCTCCGTCCGGCGCGTTCAATCAAAAAAGGGGCAGTTAATGCAAACAAAAAGTAAGCTATTCCCACAGCTAAGGTGCTGAATCTTGCCATTTGACTAAAAATTCGATTTAACATTAATTTGTTCTATTAACAGTATTAACTAGAGTTCGAACCCGGGCCGGGCCCGGGACCGGGTTTTCCGGGCCCGGTAGCCCCGAACCGGGTGTTTTTGAGAAAATCCGGTTTTTCGGGGTTTCCGGGTTTTCGGGGTTTTAGCCCGGAAAACCCGGCCCGGGTCGCATCTGAAAAACCCGGGCCCGGCCCGGGTCCAATTTTGAGTAAATTTTCAATAAAATTCCGACTTTTTGGCCAATTCTTGCCACTAAAACAGCCAAGAAAAAAATTTTTGCCTGCGGCGCCAAAAAAGAAAAGAAATCTACTTTACATCCAAAATTTTCAAAATTTTTGCCTGCGGCGCTGTAAAGTAAGAAATCAGGTAGGTTGTTCTCCAAAATTCCTAATCCGGCTATTACGAAAAGATCTATTACGAAAAGATATAATCCATCCTAGATGATATATACCTGCGGCGCTAATAAAACGAATTTATTATTCAAAGAACTTGTATCCCCTTGTCTTATCCCTTAATCCTTTAGAAGCAGGGCTGGGCATTGAGATATCGAGGATTGAGACATCCTAATGGAGGGATATTGAGGGATTAGAAGTATTAAAAAGGGATTTATTGGTATTACCAGGATTCAAGGGATTTATAGGGATTTGATACAAATCCATATTAACCTCAACAAATCCGAGATTAAATAATTATAGAGAGGATATCTGGATTTAGAGATATATAGGAGACTAACTAATCTCTGTAAATCGCTAATATTCCCTCCAGATCCGCCAAATTCATCAATATTTCCCTTAGTCCGTTAAATTCACATTAATATCTCTAAATCCTTTGAATAAACACGTATAGATGAAAGATGACACCAAATTTTAATCATTTCCTATTCAAAATAAGAAAAATTTCAGCTAAAAAGCTAAAATTTGGCCATTTTTAAAATTTTGAAAAAACCGGGTCCGGGCCCGGGTGTAAAAAAACCGGGTTTTCGGGGTTTCCGGGTTTTCGGGGTTTTAGCCCGGAAAACCCGGCCCGGGTCGGGGCGGAAGAAAAAAACCCGGATACCGGGCCCGGCAAAGTGAAAAGTTCGAACTCTAGTATTAACCCTCTAATTCCTGCATTCAGAAACATGTCTGTAGAATAGGCAAAAACGGCAGAACAACCCGTAAATTGTTGAGTAATCATTACCATAACAGAAATTAGTAGAGGTACTCGAAGTGAACGCTCGGTGAATATTTGTTTGTATGTACCTGGGCCTTCCTAAATTAGGGTGACTGGCTTATTTAGAGTGAGGCTTGGACTCACATTAATCATTATAGCCTCACGTTCCAATGCTTCAAACATATATTCCGCCTCATTATCGTCTACAAATCGTTTTAAATCTAAGACTGCCTTGGAAGCATCTCCACGCGTGAAGAGAGTAAACTTAAAATTATCGGGTCCGTTAATCAAAATTCGTTTTCTAACCATACCTTTGGACTTTCAGGACAAAATGGAAGAATACAACAAAGCAAGAGCGCAGGGATGCCTGGGAATGCAAAGGCAAGAGGCCAACTTTGCGTGTTTCCTAGAATCTATATGTACATTAGAATTTGTGATAAAGAGCTTCTAAGTATGATTTATGATTTAAATTCAATTCATCACCTCAGGTAATCCAATAAAGAGTGAAAACCAATCAGAAAATGCAACTGCTACCTTTGAAGTTAATAAGGATTTTTAGACTAATGCCGCATAGGACAAACCATATGAAGAGTGCCAGCTGCTCCTCGATATTTTGTAGGAGTGATTTCCATTAAATACATAGGCACCAACCCTGTCTTAAAGTTGAAAAAGTAGTAAAGATCGAACGTCCCATAATAAAGACCGAAAGTCCCATTACTGCTCCAAGTACCAGTCGACCGAAAATTAGCAACTCAGGCGATGCCATCGCTTTAGAAAAGTATTCTAGTAGAGCACCGAATACATTAATCCATCCATTGACGATGAGTGCATTTCGACGACCAAAGCACTCAGACAGACGCATAAAATGAAAATTAGATAAAAGGGAAACTTAGAAAATGAGAGCTTCGGCTCATACAGTATCTTCTCGACCTTATCTCCCTTGCACCTTGTAAATAGCTTTAAATTTCCTATTTTTAATAAATTTTACTAAAAATTATTTCCCAAAATTTTGTACCAAATTACGCGCATTCAATTTTTCTAAATATTTTTTTTCTATTTTATCAGTTTTTTTCTATTCTTTGGTGCATAATAAAAAGTTAGCGTTGAAATATGAAACAGAAAATAATTTCTGGCAAGAATAAAATAAAATTTTGTCTATTGATATTTTAATTTCAACGAAATGTGAACTGAGAGGAAGCTTGTTTTAGTATACATAAAACTGTCAGGTGAGTTCCGTGATGAATATCTTTGAGCTTAAGCTAAATTTCAACACAGATAGATGCTTACCGGACTAATAAGGCACCAATAATTGCGCCAATTGCCACACTAGAAACGACAAACGACCAGAAAATGTTCATGCCAGTCAAGTCTAATCCTGCCCCATTCCTTCTGATGTAGGTTTCATTAATCCATTCTGTTAGGAGCTCTAAAATTGAGTAATTTTCTTTTGATATTTAGCATCCCAATTTTCAAAAATTAAAAATTAAAGCCAACCCTGTACAGGATTAATAATCCCAAAGCTATAAAACTGTGTGCTCGCCCCAAGGCAAACTGTGAAGACAGAAATATAGTAAGTAGGATGAAACATTTCAAAATAAAATTCAAGAAATTCAACAATGGGAAATACTAATCTCGTTAATATAAATTAATTTAATTTTGAAGAAAATTCATAACAGCAATTCAGAGCAAATTGTAGATCTAATAAAAATCTTAATGGAAATCGAATATTAAAGTAAAAGATTTTTAATTATTATATACTATGTACATATAGGTAGTAAATTACATAAAATTGCATTAGAAGCAATTTCTGATAAGAACGCATAACAGGGAACTTGCTTTTTCGAGGAGACAGACAATAGAGTCCATAAAACAAAATTTTTATCAATGGTAATAGTAAAAAAAATTACAGGAACATTCGAGATAAAAATTGAGGGTTTTAAATTTTCATAGAAAATGTGGATTTAGTTACATAATTTTTCAGGGATCATCATTTTAGGGTAGAGATACATATGTTTAAACAAACGGTATACGATGAAAGGGATTGGTAATATACTTCGGCTGAACCCCCTCTTTTCCCAATTTTCTCTCGTTTTCTAATTTTCTCGCTCTTAAACTGAGTTGAATGGTCCTATAATCAACGAAGTATCCTTATAAATACAAAGTTATGACCATTTGTTTTAATCCCTCATAGCGGTACAAAATAAAATAGACAGGGAAACAGTAAAAAGAGGGAGTTTCAGCACAAGTATAACCAAAGATTTTTACAAAATAAACGATAAACCGGCATTGCTCACTAAGACGCTCATGACTAGAATTTTTATATCTGAAAATTTAAAAATTTTCTTCCATAGTCGGCTTCAATTGTTTTGAGTTGGATTTTTTGAAAGGCTTTTTTACAAGTTTCATTAAACCTTTAACTGGATCCACTATTGTTCGAAGCAAATGGCGTGAGATAACTTCAGGTGTTCGTTGTTTAGGCAATATAACTTTTGATTTATTTGAATGTGGCTTGTCAGTTTCCTCATTTGATCGTTTAAAATGGTCTAAAATATGTAGAATATTAGTTAAGGGTTGGTAAGATTAGATACTCTATTATTAGACTATTATCTTGAAAAACACATAAACAATCAACTCAGATTTCACCTGTAACACCTTCTAAAAATCTCAAGCTTCAATTAAAGAGAAATGGGAAATTACTTTTTGTTACAACCGGAGGTGTCCGAGATTTAAGTAATGTTGACGTGCGATAGAATAGCAATTTATCCGGTGTAGAAATTAACAATGAAGGCGAAGGGAATGTATAGCTGGAACAGACGGCGGAGATCAGTGACTAGCCCCGCTAGTATGATCCCCCATAGACTGACGCTTTCACTGGCTTTTATACTATAGGGATACCACAACACAACACTTTTAAAAGAAATATATCCTACCGATTGGTTTTGTGTTTATTGATAGTATTCGAAAGCTATTGCGCATACTATTTATTGATTGTATTCGAAAGTCTTGGAGATTGTTGTCGACTTTTTGAGTTTTTGTTTCTTTGAAATAATCTGTTGAATTAAAATAGATTTAAAAATTATAGCTAATCTTTAAAATTTAAGATTTAAGGTTAAATATATTAAGTAAATCCAAAAAATTTCACATATTTTGACTGGAAGGCTCAGTCAGTGTTACTTTGTTACTAACAAAACCATTTAAAAATATTGTTTTAGACATTATTTCCGAAAACAATCACAACTATTACATTTGTATTAATTTTAATTCAATTAAGTTTTTATATAAACCTACCGTCATCATCTGGAACATGTTTGCCATCAAAGAAGTCCAAAGTTTTGTCTGATAATTTCTTACTACGGCGAACGTCATTTTGTTTCGTATTTATACTGGCAACAATCGTCTGACCATCAGTGTCAGTTTCCTGATGATTTTCATTGACATCGCTTGCGTTATCATGCTGAGGAGCTTCATTATGATGATGAACTTCATCAGCTTTTTGATAATCATTGGGAACACTTGGTTTAACATCTAAATTTATTAGTAGTTAACGCAATCTCACTTTCATCAATGTTTTGGGTAAAAGTTACTTAAAAACCTTACCATACTCCTTATGTGTCGAAAGTTCACCAATTGTTATTTCTATGCATTGAATTGTAAATAGAAATAGAATCACTAATATGGTGCAAAACTTTTTATCAATAAATAACATTGGTTAACTTAAAGAAAAATTCTAAAAAAATTCACAGCTAGTTAAGGATGATGGGAATTGCCGACTTGCTGCTTGGATGCGCATTTGGAGGTTTTAACGGTATCAGCTCAAAAATTCCCACAACAAAATTTATTAACAATTATTCAATGTTAGACAGCATTATGAATGATGGATTTATAGAGGCATGGTAAGAAATTGGAAATTCGCGTGGAAGAATGTATAGATTTTTAATCATATGAAGGAATTCAAATGTAAAGACTATTGACAATAAAAAAATTAAGACATTAAAAAAAAAGTAAAACATTAATTGTAGTCGTTAGATAGACTCCGTCGACTACAGAATGCTTTGCAATAAATACAGAAATCCCTTCAGGAATGACCCTATGATAAATACCTGAATGCCCATCATGGAAGGGCTTCTATTTTCATATTTCAACTCATTTCATTCAAAAAAATGTCCGAGTTAAGATTTATATTTCTAAAAAGTTGGCATTAAAAAGTTGACATTAAATGTTGGCATTGTGACATTTTTAAGTTTGCATCGATTCCTGCTGTTTCAGCATGACCATGCCTAAATTTTCAGTTTAACAATAGCTTTGATTTTTATGTATAAACCTTGCTTTTAAGGGTTGGCTTTAGTTAAAAGTTGGATAAAATTAAAAATCCCCTTATTGTGGCTCTAATCTGGCAACTTGTTTCGAAGAAAGACTGAGCTCCACATTAAGCTTATGGTGTGTTCTATTATTACTAGAAAAATTTCAATGAACAGAAAACAGATATTTCTTCATTTATCTTCAACATTGGCTATAAATTATGGTTCCAAATCTTTTATGTCTTTGCATTCGAAGGTTGGCATTAGGTCAAGAATTTGTTAACCAACAAGAGACGTTGCAAATTGCATTGCCTCCAAAACTATTTCAGATTATTAAAAGATTGAAGCAAGATGTTTTAAAAATTGGCCATCTTCTGCCAATAGGTTTGCTTTCAATGGAGTTTAATAATGAGTAATTTCATACATATGTAGCTAAAATTTTTATTTTTAATAATTTGATTCAGTCCAGGAATTTAGTGAATTAATAAAAAATTTAAGATACTTTGCCGGAATGTTGCTTTTTGTTGAATCCCGACACGCTTCAGTTTGATGTTGAGAAAACTGCGATTGCTTCCGAGCCATATCTTTCAAGAGTCTGCCTTTTCGATATTTGTGCAAAGTCTGGTTAGTATCCTTCACTTAACTGTGCTAGGTTTTTTTAATTCCATGTCAAGTGTTAAATAATTCTAGTTGCGAAAATTATCTCTAGCATTTAAGCAAACTGAACGTTTATATGAGAAAATGAATGATTCTGAACGTGATCGAATTGAAGATATGGCACATCGTGAACCTGTTGTTTGGAGCAGAGCTTTGGAATTATCCCCTCGCAGAGTTATACTTCATTACGATGACATTGCTTATAGCTGTGCCGAAAGTGGATATGTAAAGGCATTCGAAAGGTTTCACAGAAATTGATTAATTTTTATCCGATATCCAAGATATCCATAGGCCTACCACCGTTATCCATATATGGATTTACCCAATATCTATAGGTTTACCTATTTTTTGATTTTTAACAGTCTGTTTCCCATCTCGAGCCTGTACAAATTAATATTAAATCTTATCTTCTCAATCATTTTCTTATAGAAATCTAATGAAAGTTCGTGAATTGGATGATTCGAACCTACTTCAACGGTGCGCACTCGCAGCAATTCTCAATGGTCATGTAAATGTTGCAAATTCAATTAGAACTGATAATTTTTCGGTAGCTTTTCATCAATTCTTTCCCGATGGAAGACCTCCAACTGAATTCCTAGTCCAATTGGTCGTTGGAAATGAGGTTGGTCGGGATTTAAATCCGTTTAAGGATTAATTCGACAGTTTTTATAATTTTTATTTAGCTACGACCAGAAGTTGGCGAGCAAATCTTTGAAGAACTCCTTGATTGGCTTACAAAATTGGATGTACAGAGGCTCAGACGTGAAATCGAAAAGGATAAGAAAATTCCTTTAGGAGTGCTCCAAAGACTTGATTCCAAATACAGAGAGTGTATCGATTCGCGTGATTATCCTTGTGATTATGACTGATAGAAGTTTGTTCTCGATTATTTGAATTTTGATTTTTACATAATATGTATTTTTAAATGAAAAAGATCATAAAAAATAATTTATTCCGGCTCTTCTATTTTATTTGCATGGATCCGAAAATGAACCTTTACTACTCCTTTCTTTTCTCGATAATATCAAAACAAAAACATCTAAAGCTTAAACAAAAGCAATAATCCCACACAAATTTCTAGGTGATTAATCAGCTTTTTGCTTAAAAAAGAACTGATTTTCCTTACCTACCTTTATGCCTTTGTAGTTAAGCCTTTTGAACATTTTTAAAAAATGAAATCGGAAATAAATCGATCACACAACGGCCGTTTATTTAGCTTTCTTTTTTTAATCACATCCACACTTAGTCCATTATCGCCTAGAGCGGCCCAATATTAAAGTTAGGCGTCAAATGTTTTTTGTGAGTCCACATTTCATGGATAAATCAACAGATGTTTTAAGCACTTTATCCCAAAAGATTTTCGTTGAAGCGAGGTCAGTTATATTAAAATTCCAAAGTGATTATTCCCGAGTCCTGGTCTCGGTCTCTTGAAAAGAGAATGACTCGCCAACTAAATCCTCTCAAATCTATTTGACAATTGTGATTGAAAGGAAAGTTCACGAATTTTCGGTACTTATGAAGATGGAGGTGCCCTTTCTGCGGACTTTTTTTGCGGACTTTTCTTCCCTTATTTAAATGTTTTACTTGTAGCAACTAACTGTCAATGGCCCTCCCCCTATTATTTTTCTTACCTAAGCTTGTACATAATGGTCAGATTTTCTTCCTCTCCTTCCTTCTATTTGCCCTGTGACATATTCAAACAAGGCACATTGATAAAGAGAAGATTAATTTTATAGTCATACACTTATATTTTGCCTTAGAAAACAATGTTACACAAAAAAATAATTGAAAAAATTGATTTGGTGTATAACATTATAAATTTCTGTGTAAAAACATTACATTCCTATTTATATTTAAAAATATTGAACAACTGAAAAATTTCAAATATTAGCATCTTCTGGAAAATCTACGTTTAAACGACTAATATTTTGATGCGAGGCTAGAAAGCTTGGTCTTATTCATAGAAAACGGACCCTTAAATTTGGAGGTTATACAACTATCAAGGTAAAAATGTCTTTATCAAGTCTTGTTTGCATATTCACAGGGAAGAAAATCTGACCGTACAATATAGGTTAGGAAAATTATTGGGGGTGGGGGGACAAGGTTTGGAATTTAGGGACAGAGTTTGGAATTTAGTTAAAGTAAAATGTTTCATTGATTGAAACAATTTTACGTTTATAATGTTTAAATTAATTGTTTTCAAATTGCATAAGAATTAGCCTTTGACAGTTTGTTGCTACAAGCAAAACTTGCTGCAAGCAAGAAAACCAAAACATTAAAAAAGAAAAATTTAAAGGAAAAGTCCGCAGAAAGGGCACCTCCATCTTCATAAGTTCAAAAATTTTCTTAACCTTTAAACATTAGTACTTTTGCTAATTTTTTTATCCTATGTAGAAATACTTAAGGATGGACTCAGGTTGGCCCTTTCCAAATCACCAAAAGGGGGCATGGCTTCCCATAAAGGGGGGTAAAAAGGGGGCGAAATCGGTCAAAAAAGGGGCGAGAAGGTCAAAAAAAGGGGGAACTGCCTCCCAAATGAGGCAAAAGGATCACCCTTTTTAAGTCTGGATGGACTTAAAAATTCCAAGGGATTAGGTCAATTAGATAAATATTTAAAAATACCAAACCGAAAGTTCTGTTAGATTGAAAGCTCTTTAGTCTTTTTAACCTTTTTGTTGCATTTTTTTCACTTTGTCCCAATAAAATAATGCTTCTTTAATCGTTGCTGTTTTTAAAAAGCATTACTCATATAAGCCAATAGCTTCAATTTTTCCATCAAAGCTGCTCGCCAGTTTAATTCTATTGATGCATAAATTTGCAAATCATCTTTCATTTTTCTTAAGAAAATCATTAACGATCAATTTTTGCTCATTTTTAGTTCAGCATAGAATAATATAAATTCTAAATTTTATAGTGAATTCTGATTTTTATACATTTAATTAAATGAATATCCTGAAGAAATTAATTAGTGGAGGTGGAGGAGGCAAGAAAGAAACTCAAAAAAGCAACAAAAATTCATCAAATGATACTAACGAAGATGTGGAAGACGATTATGAGCCTGAGCATTGTGAAACTGACTTTGACCAGCAGTTTGAACATGCTAGACGCAGTATTTCAACAACTACAGTGCCTACTATAACACATTGCGAATATCGTAATTATTTTATTAAACCATGTTTTTATATTAGTAATTATCCAAATGAACAAAAAGTAAATACTCCCAAATTCATAGGCGGCAGTCCCTCACGAAGCAATCGGAGTACGCCAAACCAATCTGGAAATCTAAAATCCGGTCGTTCTACCAAAAGTCCATCTCCTCTACAACCTCCATCCACACAACGACCTCGCTTTCAATCCTCGCCTCTGGCAGCCGCAAACTCAGTAGCAGTAAGAAAAAGCAGTAAATCAACACCACTCATGCAACGCAAGTCACAAACACCAGAAAAACCAGGAGTTTCTACTGGCAAGGATTCCATCCAACGAAATATGACAATGACACAGCAAAAGCAGGTAATATTTTAGGCGTTGAATTAAAATATAAACCGGTATAATTTCCGACTAAATTAAGGCTAAAGATTTTGTCGAGTCGCTTGATTGGATACAACCAACTCAACTAGTATCAAGCAGTGTTATTCAACCTCAGATTGTGCAATCACAAATGATGTAATTTTTATATTTGAATTTAAAAATCAAAATTATTTTTAATATTAAGAGTCCCACAAATCCATATTTGTGAAGCGCTACCAGTCGCCCGACCCAGTAAAGCAGTCACAGCAGTTATCCCACAGAAACGATCAGGCATTCCTGTTCCTGTAGCAGCTTCGGGGAGAGTTGTGAATATAAACAAATAAAGACAATCAACATGAAGCTATTTTATCAGATTTTTTAAAATTTTATCATAATTAATCCCTGACACTTTTTGACAATATCCCTATAATATATTCATTTATCCCTTACTAATTCATTGTTTTAATTTAGTAATGATTTATTATTGTTCGTACATTATATGTACATTTAATATTGAAATTTATTCAAGTGTTCATTGCCATTTTGCTTTGCTGATGTACATTTGTCTTCATTGGCTGGACCATGGTTAGGTTCTGCTTAGGTACAATTCTAAGTGATGAAAGGACATGATAGCGGAACTTCCTAAAATTGAGGATAAAAACTCATGACTAGGGATCGGATTTGTATTGAAATATATTTTTTTTTCCTGAATATATTATGTCGAGAAAAGCCCAAATATGCCATTAGTCTTTCGGTATTATGATTTTGAACAAAGTTACATTTCAATATATTTCAATATTTTGCCAATTTCCCCGTTATTTCAATATTTCGCGTTTTTTTCAAATTATTTCAATATTTTTGCATATTTTTACAAAATTTTGGGATTTTTCATAAATTTTAGGAAAAAAGTGAAAAAATCTAGACGTTTGACAACCAAAATTCTCAAAATTTTCGCCTGCGGCGCTGAAAAGGGGATGTTATGGCCTACAGTGCTGTCAAAATGTGTAAATGACCAAAGGTCCCCATAAAGGCCCATTCCAAAATGCTTCGCCCTTAAAATGTCCCACAGGACAAAACCCGAAATGGCACATTGAGAAAACCCACAAAATGTCCCACCCTCATTTTATCAATCAAAAAATGTCCAAGAGAGTAAAAATACTCGATTTGTCGAGCTATAAAGTCGATTTTAAAAACGTGGTTATTTTTTTTTTGTTAAATTTCAACTTTTTTTGGAGGTTTTCTAGTGAATAAACGATAATTTATTTCAATATTTAGCTAGTTTTTTCCATTTTTTGTCAATATTTTGCCACTTTATTTCAATATTTTATGGCCATATTTTCCGATTTTATTTCAATATAAATCCGATCCCTACTCATGACCTTTATTTATGTTAGTAGGATGAATATCTCACCTTAATAATATCATATATAACATTGGACTTATTCCACAAAACAGAATAGATGCCGAATTCAATAGCTCATGTTCTAATGAAGTCATTGCACCATACCGAGCTTTAAAGTAAAATTAGATTTATAAATATATTTAAAAATATTACGCATGAATCCATATATTGTTGGCGCAATGAAAACCAAAAATTGAATAAATGATTGAATTAGTATTCGGATCTCTTGATTTTTTCGTGATGCATTAGCCGAATTATGATTGTTCAAAAATTTTCGTGCATTCTGTAGAATAAGAATATTCTTTTATTTAAAAATTATCTGCTTACAATCTTTATCACTAGAGCAATGGAACAATAAATGATAAAACATATTGTTGGAATCGACAAATATCCATAGTACTCAATATTTCGCATAGTGAGCGACAATGTAAAGTTTGTATTATATTGCCAGCCATTGTTTTCTCTGTTCAGGTAAATTTCACAATATGGTGATAAGAATATTATCGATATAATAGCAAAAGCGATCATTGAAATAATGTACAAAAACTGAATTTATTTAACGAAATTTTGTAGTCAAAAAGATACCTTGTATATAATACTCTCTATTTGTGTATCAGTTTTCTTAAAGACATTAAAGATATACAGCTTAAGTATTGTGCATAGCCGATTAATTGCAAGAACAAAATTCAAGAGGAAAAATAAATCGAACGCAGCATCCGTAAATGAACCGATGATCTGAAATTAAAATGGATTCATTCTTAATGTCAATTATTTTAATTTACTTTCTCAATCCAGCTTTGATACAGATTATCAATCGCAATGAACGGATAAATTCCCATTGTGATAATTAAGTATAATTCGGTAACACCAATGATAAACATTAAACGATAGGATGTTTCTTCGCGATATTCCTTGCGCAGAATGAACTGCTAAATTGGAAAAATTTTAAGCTTATGACAAGCAGATTTTAAGATCTATCTTGCTTTCAAGTATAAGTTTAAAAATAAACATGCCGGCAAAGTTAAAAGTTGAAGCAACAAAAATACAATGGACATTATCAAACGTAAAGAAGCAAAAATACTGGTTATGTTTAAATTTGTAGTCATTATAATGAAATTTTATACTAAATTTACACTGATTTTCCCTAAGCCTTAGCGGATTTTTTAATAGTTTATTAATGAAGGATATTAAATAAAATTTCAAAATATTGATGCTTTTTCTTTGAGTTATGAGAAAAAAATTTAGTCGGCTTTATAATTTCATAACAATGTTTCAAGTTAAATAACAATAATAAAAGTTAATGTTTTATTCATAGCTAGAATTTTGCTCGAATTTAATTATCGAAATAAATTACTATAATTTAATTTTGATATTTTTTTAGAAAATTGACAAGCTTAATTGAAAAAAAAGTAAGCCTTATTATTTTTATTAAATTAAACACATTGTTAGCTAAAAACGAAGGAAATTAAAAAGGTATTAGAATAAAATAGAGTTAGTTGATTAAAATTAATCAAATCATTAATAACAAAATCATCTGTATAGAAAATCACTGCATTTTAGATGAATTCCAAAAGTGGACTAATTTTTCAAAATATTCATTGTCTTCTGAAATGAAAAAGCGATTAAAAACATGGATAAACTTAATAAACTTAATACATGGATAAACCTTTTACTTCTTTCACTTTAGGTTGAGCTTTTTGTTTCTTATCGTTGTTTATTATGAAAATCTCTAAAATGTTAAAAAAATTTAGATAAATTGTTATTGAGCCTCAAGCTAAGCTAACATTAATAACGTACCCGGTCTACTTTTGGCTGCGGCACTATCAATTTTTATGGTCGTAATTTGCTTCTTTGTTTTATCATCTGAATAATTTTAAAAAATGGTTTAATAAATTCAAGCATACCGTTAGCTATTATTCCGATAACCATCAAACAGATAAATAAAATATTGAACATCGCGGGTTTTTGAAATTAAGTTTTATCTTTATCGATAATGATTTTTATAGACAGAATATATAGGCATAATTTCTCGCAAATAAGAATGATGTAACTAGCTTACAAGATTATTTAAGTAATACACTTCAAAAGGAAATAATATATTAAGTAGATGCACTTTATTTTGTAGATGCACTTTATTTGGCATGTCTATTTACAATTTTATCGGATTTAAAATTTAAAAAATTTTCTCATAAAAGACCACACGTATTATAAAGATACTTTATCTTACATAATGTTGAGAAAATGCCAAAGACTGAGTGGCATTAAAACTTTTATCGCTTTAATTTATGACTTTTAGCAGAATACGACTTTTCCAGAAAAAACAAACAATAAGGTTGGCGGTTCCTGGGAAATCTTTGGTTATCCGGAACCGATAACCGAACCGAAAATTTTCGGTTATCTGGTCTTTTTCGGTTCCAGATAACCGGAACCACCAACCTTACCAAACAAATAAAATATATCTTTATCCAAAAATAAAATATAATTTTTATATGGCATCATGAACAATCGGCAATTGAGATCATAAGTATTTGCAAAAAAAGCCATCACGTTAAAATTCGGGATATGGAGGTTTTGCAGATTCAGAAAATCTTTCAATATCGGGAGGTAAGTTCTGTAAACTCATTCCTGATTGTTGCTGATCAGGATTTACTGTAGAATTTATGTTGCCAAGTCTTGAGTTAATTTTCAATTGTTTATGGGAGAATATTTGTGGTTTTTTCATAGCGCATTCTGATGGGGCTCGAGATCGAAGAGGTACAATTGAATTTGCCTTCATGAATGAGCACACCTTATAAATTTATAATTAATTTTTAATAATTGGTAGATCATTAGGGCAATAAATGTCGAATAATCTAGTGAACCTGAGCTGGCAATTCTGCTAGCACTTCTCGGCCCAAGAGAGTTTTTAGAATAGCTTGTTCTTCTGGCGTTATGCCCCATGCAGAACCGATAAATTCGCGAAATGGGACAAACTTAAATATTAAAGTGTTAAAATAAATTTGAAAATCAATTTAAATATACTTGTACTATATCCCTTGATGCCACTTTCCCATTGTAAGTCAAAAGACGGTTGTCTGAATCAAGAAACTCCATTTTCTTAAAGTCTTCTTTACCAATTCCAATTACTAAAATTAAAATTTATAATCAAAGTAAAATTTTCTTACTAATAATTGAAAGAGGCTCATGTGAAGCCTCAATTAATGCTTCTATTGTGTTTTGCATATCAGTTATTATCCCATCAGTCAAAATTAATAGCACCTAGTAAACATTATGTAAGGCTAGAAAGTTCGGACAAACTTGATATTTAGTACCGTCCCTAGGGAATTGTTGACATTTGTGCACAAATTCACGAATTGTCGGAGCAAAATTAGTTGGCCCATATAATTGCGTGTTGACAATGGCATACCTATATGCATCTAATACACCTTGGATTCCCTCAACTGAACGTTCAAAATTGTTAAGCCTCTGAATATTTTAGAGAAATTGATTTGAATTTTAAAAATCAATACCAGAGGGAACATATGGCTAACAGTAAAAGCTGGTGGTATCTTGGCACCAAAACCAATAGTCTCAAACATTTTAGAATGATTGTAGTGTTCACATATTTCCAATACAGCGCATATAGCACATTCGTACTGATTCAAATATTGTGAGTTCACATAATGCAATGAACTTGATTTGGAGATCTCCCCATTCGAGGCAGTCAAATCGACGGCAACAGCAAATTCAAGTTGCAAACTGAAAGTTTTCACTAAAATTTTGTGTAAAAATTTGACTAACCCAGAAGCGATGAAATCCAGAAATGTAAACTCTTTGCGAATCTGAACATCCATAAAATGAAGAATTCCCTTTGGGACCTTTAAAGGCACTCCTTTATTCTTTTTTGTTTTGATCAACTCAAGTTGGTTCTGTTGATGGGAGGTCAATGCATTAAGGGATGTTTGTGTTGATCCGATCAAATGATGGCTAAAAATTAAATGTTGGCTTTTGTGATAATTTTAATAAACAAACTTTCCAGTAGCCTCTCTTTGATCATAACACTCAATGAGAAAATCACTTAATTTTAAATTATATAACCACTACTCAAAAATATCAAAAATCACCTCCCTTTGTCTCCCTTGCAGAGCTGATTTACTCTTAGTTCAAAAGGCTTCCATTCAGGATTTTTAGTATTCCTAGCCAATTCTGTCCTGTAGATCATTTGCCGGCTTAATAAAAAAATGAATACCGGCCTTATAGAGTTGATTTTTTCCAAGTAAAAACAAAGGACTGACTGATCACACTTATATAAAAATACCTTCCATCACAAAAAAGTCGATAGAATTCCAAAAATGTATTTGGATTTAGAACACATTTCCTAAGGAATGAACCACCACTGTTAAGAGCAACACCTCTGACAGAAAAGTGTACAATATCACGTTGTCCTTCATCAAGTTCCTCCGCACATACCAGAAGTAAACCGCCTTGTCTTGGAACATCTTTACATGAGCTTAATTTAATTTTTGTTTCTCTATAAAAAATTAAAATACTGACAAGACTTTCATCTCACAAATTCCATTCGGAGCTGCAACAATATCTGCTAATTCGCATTCACATTTCCCAAGGAAATCGTGTTCTGACAACTTTGCAGATTCAGAATCGATGTCGTAACTTAATCAAAATTAAGTCTAAAATACAAAATAAATTAAAATTACATCTTGAAGCGAAGCAACTGTTTACTTTCAAAATAATAATCAAGAGTTATTCGCTTATTCCATACGGGGTTTAATGAATTTTTAATACATTCTGTTCTCCCAATCTCCACGAATTCGTTTTTAGAATCTTCACGAGTATATCTAGTAGTCATCTCTTCAACGATACATATAGGATCAGACTTTGAAAAGAAGTCCCGGTCTGCCAATGTTCTACAGAATTTTTGAAAAATTAATGAAAAATTTGTGCAAAAACCTCGCGGAGATCATTAATTCAACACAAGCGCATGGACCTTTATCTTTAATAATTGGTCGATTTTTTCGCTCATAATAATTTGTTGATGGGCCCGATTTGAATCCTGTAAAATTCTTATACTAACATTTTTAAGTTAAAAATGTACCGATTTCATCCGTAGAAATAGGAGCCGATGGAGGCGTCGTTGCTTTGAATTTTGTCGAAATTTCATCGTGTGATTTATCATATCTCTTTATTGAGGGGCTAGATTTATGATTTTGCTTATGGTTGTTATTAAAATGAGGTCGTGTAGCTAGAGGCATAAATTACACTTTCATTAAATTTCTATGGCTATACTAAAATAAATTAATTTACTTAAGTCTATATAATTTTATTCCCCAACATATCCGCAATTCAACCCACAAACATTTTAGTCTAGTCCTATAATTAATTCAGTTTATTGACTCACACCCACATCACCTTAAAAGAAATTTGGACAATTTTTAAATTACTATGTCAACAAAATTATTTGTTTACGTCTACCAATTTATTTTACCACATTACTATTATTGTCTGAAATCGCGCGCTTCTGAGTATAAAATTTGATTCAATTTATTGACGGGGGTTGGGGAAAATTTTAATTTAATTAATATCTAAAATTGTTGATAAAAAACGTTCGTACTTTTCAATTATTAGTTTTCAAAGAAACATTCTTTATAAAAAAAAGTATGGCTACATTTTGGTAAACGAAAGGGAAATGTCTGAAATAGCTGCCAGCTATAAACAACTGCTGCTGTCACCAACAGGAAACGTGTGAGGCTTCTTCACACTAAACCTAAAGCATATCGATTGCAGTCCATTGTCGCATGCAGCTTTTTGGCCTTTAAATTGCTTGAGAAATTGAAAGTATTGTTATATGCGAATAAATGTTTAATAAGAGTTTTAAGTTCAATTATCAAGATTGCCTGATAATTAAAATGAATTTAAATGTCCTTTAACAATAAAAAATATCAGAGCATTTATCTAAACATTGTAAAACTACAATTTTCCAAATAAATATTTAATAAAGTTAAAATCAAGAGGTGCTTCCAAATCCTCTTCAAAATTTCCAAAAAAAAGAAAATTTTTCTAGATTTAAAAACATCACTGATTGGGTTTTTTTCTTTAGACTGACTCAAATTTAAATTATTTAGCTTTTTAAATTTTTATTAACTTCTTTTCTAATAATAACTTCTCTTCATCCAAATGCCATGTTTCAGGATCACGAATTTCAGGAAACATAATCGTTTCTTCGATCCCTAATTCATTATTTCCTTGCAAGATACGGAAGATGCCGTTTTCTCCCCATCCATTAAAGATAGAAGCTTTGCAAACCCAGTACTTTTCGCCTTCTTCATTTTGCCCCCAACCAATAAGTAATACTGATCGTTTAGCCTCATTAATAGAATACTGATTATCGAAGATTTTTAGAGCCTCGTTTCTCTAAAAGTATAAGTTAAAGCCACAATATTTTTACAAATAACCTGGTAAATACCACTACTGTAGGTTGTGAATGAGTAAGACGATGAGATGAATGCAACTACTGGTCCTTCACGCATAATTTCTTTTTTGATTCGGTTAACAAAATCTCCACGGTTAGCTATACTTTTGTACAAACGGTATCGTTTTTTATCGTTTGAATCTTCTTCGCGCTGAAGAGTTATTAGATAGTTAATAGAAATTATAGTGATAAGCAGAGTTAGATTACTATAATTGTTTCACTTGAACTGGCTCAGAAATCGGGAACATGAGATATTAGAAAATTTGTATTTACGGAGCTTTTCGAGTTTATTGGGACCTATAATAATCTTACCTTCTCATTTTCACAATTTTCCCATTGTATAAATAGTCGGACTATTCCCTTTTTTGGCTTAGTTTCCACCCATGATTTATTTGTACATTCCTCTTCACATTTCATGGTTTTACTACTTTTTAGCATATAAGATTTCGGATAAGGCTTGCAGCCTGACTTAATATCTGAATTTGTTCCACTTAGAATTCCCTTTTCAATAGAATGAGCAAACGCTTCTGCGGGACTTCCTTGATAATTACATCTTTAAAAATAAAATAAAAATGAGAATAAAAGCAAAATTAATACTTTTTAATGTTATTATCGGAGCATGTAAATAAGTCGATTGCTGATACAATGTTAGCTGAATTGTTCAACTTTGACATGAAAATATTCTTCATGGCAGAACTCCAATCATAATTATGAATATTCTCGGAAGTTGAAGCCTCCTTGTTCCATCTACCTGATTCACGTCGAAGGCACTCCTCAATCAATGATGGTTCTGGCATTTCAACGTCCATTGATTGATGCTCCTTTTTATTAAATAAAGTTTATACAAGTCCCCCAACAAAGATTTTACATGTCTCCCAAAATATTCTAACTACGTATAAAATTATATCTCAACATACCTTATCATTGTCGTCCTGTTTTCGTTCAATAAACTGACACCAATATAAAGTGATCCAATCTTTTTTATCTTCATTATCCATTGCTCTATAAAACAGCAAGTTTTTATTCTCGATCCATTTGAAAAATTCATTAAGTGCATCAACCTTTTCCTTTATGGAGTTGAATGTATATTTCTGGTCTTTCACCCATTCGAGCATTAATAGTACTGTCCTTAACAAATTTAATCATACATTTTTATACTTAATTTACTACCATGCTTCACGCATAGATTCCTCTTCATCGACAAAATTCGAAGACAAAGTTCTCAAGCTAGTAAGATCATCATTCAAATTTCCAAGCAAATTACTAAAATCCCACAGGAATTTTGCTTCTTTTGAAATTATATCAGTTTGCTCAGACCATCTTCTGATTTTTTCGCGAAAAGTATTAACTTTGCGTATACAAATCCTTGAGCTAATCGAGTCTGCCGCTGCAATAGCCCAACAACTAGAACACTCACCATTCTCTGTCAATTATTTTTAAACATTAAGATAAATTTATATTTGAGGTCCCGTAGATCGTTATAAATACGTTAGATTCACCATATGATAAAATGATTACGAGATTACAGGATTAAACGTGATTACAGGACTTTACCAATTGCATGTTGAAATATTTCTTCGCATTCAGGCCATTTTTCAGTGATAAGAAATGAACTCGGAATATCCTCAGAATAAGCTACGTCTCGCCGAGTTCGAGTTGAAGGTCCCTCGATTGTCTGATTTTCCTTTTTTATCTCACATTTCGGCATATTCAAATTCGTGCCAAATAGTAATTTTCTAAGCTGTTTTCTGTCAGCCAATTGCGAATAGAATTTTGCCTGATAAAAAATTTATTCAAAAATCATTAAAAAATAACAAATTTTAACCTTCCACTTGTTTCCAGTATAGTCATTTATTTCTTCAACTTTTGAAATTTCATTCCTCCTAGCGAATTTTTTCTTATGACCTTTCTTGACACCAAGTGAATACCATATAGAAAGAGTAATTAAAAGAAATATTATTTCAAATTTTATTGAAAACATGAGTATGTATTCTTGGATCGACTTTATTTAACTCTGAATTGTGATGATAACAGAAAGCGTCTAATACATATATAGGGGAGTCGTGATTTCATCATCCTGATGTAATAGCAATGAATCTCCTCAAAGTTCACATGAAAAAAGCATTCAATTCAAAAATTTTTACAAGATGGCTGTAAAACAAGATTAAGAAATCAAAGTCTTTAATTGAGAAACAAGGTCAAGATTAGGAAATAAATGCACTAAACAATTTGTCAAAGGATATAATTCCGATATTTCATAAAATTGCCCTTTATAAATAATTTTATTTTAATTATTTATACAATTAATTAATTTAATTCAATCGTAAGCTTACGATTCAATTGTTCAATAGTAAACTATCGTGTTTAAATTTTTGAAGTTTCTACTAAATAGAATTTTTTAAAAATATATTTTTCCATTTGAAACAGATTTCTTATAAATTCAGATAATGTTATTTTGATAAGATTACATTTGCTTTAAATTTAGCCTTGATTAAAATCAGGATTATTCGACTTTATTTCAATTAAACCTTAAGATAAAATTCTTAGGAATTTTTCATATAAATTTCTGGTTAATATTCAATCAATAAATTTACTTTAGATATTTGATACAAAAAATATTTTTCTCTATAAATGTAATAGAAATCACTCTCAGCTTTCGCAGATGGATATAGATGAGCGCGACCCACTACATAAATAGCGAGAGCATTTATGGCGGCAAATTCCTGCCTCCGGCGGAGACTATTGAGGTTTGCACACCTTTACATTACATTAAAATAGCACAAGTGTGTGGTAGAATACATGTTATATGGATATGGACATGATGGAAAGGATAAATTTGAAAAAAATTTTTTAGCGATATAGAATGAACAGAATGTAAACAGTTGTGCTAAATTCGCGCTATTCACATGAGAATCAATTTGGGTCATTTTACCAAAATCCTCCTTTTCCATTGTGTGATTTGTTCATCACCATTGCAATTATTAGTGGCGCAATCTAATGAATTGAAACAACTAATAAAAATTTTCTTCCATTTGATCATTAGATTAATTTGATAATTTGAAATCTGCTCTTCCGTCGTATTTTTCACAATTCATTCCTTAACAATATAAAATTTTAATAATTTTGATTTTTAAGTTAACAGATTATAATGCAGGAAAGATACGGACTGAAGCTTTTATGCCTACTAATCATCACTATCAATGTCAATAATGTAGTCCCCCAGGAAACGATCCAATATTCCCCTCATCAAACTGATCCCAGACAAAGAACAGTAATCATGAGACTAGAACCGGTATCATAAATTTATTTGCTTTTATTATACTCATTTGTTTAGTTACCTGACAAACCACCATTCCTAAGCCAGGCTGTACCACCACGTGCAATACCACAGAGTACTATCCAATCTCACGCTTCAATTAAAAATGATCAATCAGAATTTAAACCACACGCATTACCTCAATCACAACAACCAAATAGAATTGAAGCTCAACAAAAGGTTGAAGGACAAAAAATCGTCAATGCTGTATAATAAGAAACATTTAGTTTAACTAATAAATCCACTAGGAATCGCCCGTGCAGTTTACGGTGCCAACTGTAGCTGCACAACAACCAGTTATCCCACAATTAAACGCATTAGGTCAACCAATTTTAACTCCAAGAGAAGATGCAACACCGCCCCCAGCTCCGCCAAGTATTTTAATTTGAAAAATTTTTAAACCGATAAACTTTATAGTGAATATACCAACTGATGTTCAAAATCAATTAATTAAATTTCTCGGACTAGATTCATTCGGTATATTTATAGATATTGTAGCGGCAGGCTTAACATATTAAGGCATACCTGGACTTACTGGAACCCATCCTAAAGGCTTTGCCGGTGCAGTAGAGGTTAATAATCCTTGTGAATTTCGAAAATATTTTAGTTTAGGAGTTGCGATCGCAAGGAATCCCTATTCAAGGACTACCGCTAGAACATGTCGGAGGTCAACCAATACATGCACCTCAAGTAATAATCAATGTAAAGTCCACAATATAAAATTTTTTTAAAAAGAATGATGCTTTGGTTCAAGCAAATCCAAAATTTGGAAACGAGCTGAATTCTCTTCTTGAGGGATCTCGTGGTCCTTTCAATCCATCTGGAGGGAGCGCACCGTAATCTATCAAATATTGTTAATTTATAAGATCTTCAATGTATTCTTTCACAGTCTTCCTGATGCAAAACCAGGCGATAACGGTCTGATTGGTCTTTTGAGCAGCTCTGTTCGAAGATTTGTCAAGGATTGTAAGAAAACATTTAAAAGATATTATGTATTTGAATAGAATTAAATGAATAAGCTTATAATAATCATTAAATTCAATTTGATTAGCTGGTGTAGCAGATGCCTTATCAAATACCTTACCAAATGTGCTCGGCACCAATCAAAACGTAGATGCCAAAGGATCTCCAGCATTGACACAAAATTCTCAAAGTCTTCTTGTCGGAGCAAACGATTCCACATCGCAGTCAACAAGTGTTCCAAGTTCAGGTTAAACCTTAATCCTCACATGTAAAAATATTTGAGTTTAACCTTTTGTTTCTAAAGGAGTTAGACGTCAGCAATCTCCTGCAGAAAGAGCGTTAGCTGGCTTTGCTTCTGCGCTGGGAGGTGGTAATTCTAACGGGCCTGCGCATGCTGGTAATTATTTCATACTTAATGAAAATCGAAAATGATTTATTTGAAATTTGTAATGTCAAAATTTCTAACCTTTAATCTAAAATTTCAGGCCTACCGAGGATACCAGGTTTAAAAACAATTTTTTAATCATTTATTTCTAAGAAAATAGGAATCCCAATCCTACCTGGCGGCATACCAAGAAATTCTCAAGGGCAAATTGATGTTGTACAACTTATTGGTGAGTCCTAATTAATAATTTATAGTTCTTCATATCTTTGTCATATTATTATTACCCTTTTCAATTTTATTTCTGTTTATCATTTGATCAATTTGTAAATAATATTTTGAAAAATAGGCTCAATCACACGTAGAATTTCGAATGGTACGACGCTAGCTGATGTAATACCACCTGAACAGCTACAAACGCTTGCAGGTTTAAAAGACGTTCTATAAAAACCTTAAATTTTGCTAGACAATGTAACCGATGCTCTGCTACCCGCTACACCAGAGGATTTTGATTTAAATAAGTTCATGGGCAGATGGTTTGAAGGTATACAGTAAATTAAAGTTTAAAAATTCTATTTTCTTTAAAACTTCAGGCATAAACAGTCCGAGGGCCACTGAACAACGATGTGTCGTTCATCATTGTAGGCATTCATTTACATTTCACTATGTTAAAGTCGGGCAATAATATAAAAATTATAATTTATAGATGGAGGTTTGACGAGAAATGAGAGAACGGCAACATTTACTGCGCTGAAAATATACCGGGAAGGTAGCGAGTTTGGTCCAGTGAAATATTCAATTGGCTACGCTTTCCGAGCTGGAAATAAAGTATATAAAATAAAATTGTTAAAGGTGCGAAATATAAACTTTCTAACAAAATAGGACGCAATGCTGCAGTTGCACAGTTCAGAAAATGCAGACGCACAGCCTTGTGAGGATAAATTTGTTTTTTAAATATTTTCTTTCATTAAAAACAGTTTGGGTTTACAAACTTGGTCCAGAAGGTAATGATCCATTTGGAAACAAACAATATGAATACGCTATTGTCAGGTAAACCTCAATAATTAATCCTAGTTTATTCAAAATCTATAGCAATTGGGTAAAGTATCCTGTTACTGTACTGGTTCGTGATCCTGATACATTCAAAGCTAAATATGAAGTAGAAGTGCTTCGATGGCTCGAAGACCAAGGCTTCATAAATGGTATAAAGCATTTTTTATTTATAAAATTTATTATAATACAGGCTTCATTCGCGCCTTTAATTTACTTCAACCTGCGTCGTAAGTTTAAAACAAATTAAATTTAAAATAATGCTAAACATTAATCTAAAAATTTTTAAAACAAATTTAAGCTATGGAAGCTGTCAATATGCCGACAACACCTTTGAGCTATTTGGACGGAAATAATAATCTCTTTCGAAATACTTATATTTAAATTATTAAAATTATTTATCATTGAGAATTTATAAATATATACATGTATATTTAGTACGTGATTAGCAGTTAAATGCCCTAAATTAAAGATAAAGGTCAAATTAAAGGTGAAATTACAATCTTAATGATTAGCAAATTAAATTTGTTAACAAAAAAATTAAATGCGTCAATTCATACCTTATCAATGCCAAGCATATTTTATTAATTTTGTTCTTCAACAACAAAATGGTTTTAACTCTTCGTCATCGCATGCTCGTTGCGTGCAGCAGATATCTGTTATCTTGCTGAATCCTGCATCTATAAAATTATATATCAATAGATAAACTTTCTACTGTTATTTTCCTAGCTACCGTTATTTTAATTCGATTTTTAGATCCAATCCTTACCTAAAAATTTTACCTATTTATTTTTATCTAAAAGCACAAAAGCTTACCTCTTTTCAATCGATTCCTGGATTCTGCTGATATTCTTTTTGTCATAACCATTGGATTAGAATCTGTAAATAAATACTAATTACCATAAAAACTATTACAATGGCACATTCTAATAGAATAAAAACTATTAAAATAACACATTCTAATAGAATAACCTGGCGAGAGGATTAAAAATAAAATGCCATAATTTAATAAAATGAATGGGAATACTTCGGCTTACTCCACTCTTTTTTTTCATCTTTTTGCTAATTTTTTCATATATGGCAAATTAAATATCATTCGACTGGCTCCTAAAGAGTTGGCTCCTAGAGAGATAAGTGAAAAATAAAATGGCATACCATTTACGGTAATACTAGATTTTAGAATGCCTGTGATTTTAAATTTTCTAACCTGTAGATGATCTTAGACATCCGTTGCATACTTTTTGAATGTGTTTAATCAAAAGAGTTCCACAGCGACGGACAGGTTGTCGTTTCACAAAGGCGGGAATTACATCCATTCTGTTATATATGTCTTCACCCCTCTCTAATTGCCGAATAATCATTGTTCTCCTTTCATTATAAATTTTATTGAAAAGCTTTTGAGCTTTTTGCCTTTCCAATAATTTTAAATAGGCCATAGTGGCTGGAAATAAGAAATTATTAGGTTTTATTTTTGCTATCGAAAAAAAGATTAATCTTATTCTAAGGATAAAGTTAATACATAAAGATTTATTTGAATTATTTTCATTAATCACCTTGTTTGATGATATCAGGATTTTGTTGTAAAACTATAACAGGCAAAACTTGGCTGATAAGATTGTGGCCATTTTCACTTAATTTAAGAAAGACTATGTAATTATTCGAATAATTCATGGCTCGGAGCGCAAAAATGTTAAGTTTAAGTAAAAAAATTTAATTTGGAAGTACACATTAGTTTGGAGAAACAAAATTTTGACAATTTTGGAGGTCAAGAAGACAGAGTTAACTTATTTTTAACTTCCAAAATAAGTGCGATTCCGATCCCTGGTACAATTCCTAGTTTTACTAACTTTTCATCCATTAACTCATCTGTTTCATCTTCTATAATCATGTCATAGAATAATTCAGAGTTGTCCCAACCATCGTCATTTAAATTTAGATTTAATAATTGCAGTGAATCTGATTCATCCATATTATCGCTGTTAATTTCAAATGTAGCTGAATTAACGTAAAAGTATAGCAATTGTGCCAAAATGAGTTTTTCAATTGTAATGGCTGCTGTTATCATAACCATTTTAGTTGTCAAAATTATTTTTGTTCACTATTTTTATATTTACATAAATTGGCATTCCAATAATTTAAATTATTTAAAGGTTAATGATAAATTTTTATTTAAATTAAGAATGTAACTTTTATTAATTATCTAAATGTGAAGTTCGATTATATCTATATTTAATCGCGTTTAAATAGATCGATGTTTCTACATCAACCTTCGCAGGCGGATAATTTTAGGCTTTCATCTGCATCTATAATTGTTTTTAAAAAATTCAGTTTTAAAATACACTCAGCATCCTCATGTTATTTCATATTATTATTACTGCAGTTAAGCTAGTTTCCGCCGCCTACTTATTTAAATATCAATTATATAAGAAGTAAGCTTTACATACGAAGAAAACAACCTAAAAAGGGCAAAAAGTGCGCGTAAATGCCTTGTGAATAAGCAGTGCCAAGACAGGTATTTATTATTATGGATTTGTTTTCAATTGTAGAAATATTTTTTAATTGGAATAAAAATAAACAAATAGAAAATAATAAACAAATATTTTGGAACTCATTCTTGAGACTGAAAATAAATCTTATAATGAGGTGTCTCATTTAGATGTGTCGCTTTGGCGCTCCTCTCACCCAATGCCATTCAGTTTAACGAATATAAAAATTATTTTTGTCTTTATAACAATTTAACCTGATAAAATTTAAATTATTTTAAAGTCTATGAATGATTTTAAAAATTAAAACTAAAAATTATAGCCTACATAGCTTTCTTAGAAAACGTGTTAACATTTAATTTTGAATTTAATTCGCACAATCTTATTCTGCCGAGAAATTAGACAGTTTTCTCACGCAATCATTTTAAATTTTAGTTCGAAATTTCATAGAAATCAGAATATTGCGTGGGCTAAAGTTATATTACGCAATGTACTTAAAGAATAATTCAATAATTAACCTAATTGTTCACCTCATAAATCTTAATCCTTAAACGATCCTGACGATAAGAACACTACGTTGAAAATTGTAAATCATAGAATAGTCTTTAATTATTTTAATTATCTTAAATTACACAGAAATAGTTTTTAATGAATGCAAAAATTCAGACAATTTATCTTTTCTATAATATGGAATTTTGGGAATATAAAAACTTTGGTAAGAATAATGATAGAATATATGTGTCGATGAGATTATTTAAAAATGATTTTAAAATCGAGCAAAACTATATAATTATACTGGTTACTATTCTAATTTTAATATTTACCATTAATAATTATCTTTCAAATAATTCTAAAATTGTTATTTAAAAAAATAATAAGATTTTATAAGCTTTTATTAATTGAATTTTGAATAAAAATAGAAATGTGTCGGCTAAAATTAAGCAAAAAGTTTTGTCTAGTTGCGTGCGCTTAAATTAAAATTTGTTAGCGTGCGCGAATTTTACGTTAAGTTAAATGAACCAGTTGCAATAAGATATAATATTATTTTAAACTAGGTTTAAGATAAATAAGTAACTGTATAACAATTAAAATTTGACGATTACACAATCAAAGTAATTGAAGTTTTAATTTAAATTTTCACCAATAGAGATGGGATATAAAATATTATTGGTAATATAGTTGGATCAACATGCTAATAAAATTTTTTAATTAAAGTAGAGACTCTTGATGACAGACTGTTGATTGTTGACAAACTTTTGATTGTCGTGTTCTCTATCTTAGAAATTATTTTCTCCTTTCGTTATTTACCGGTACTTATTAAATGAAACTTAAAGCTATTGTTCTATTCACATACCGTACTATGTCCAAAAGATTAATTTGTCAGTTAAAAATGAAACAAATTTATAAAGATTTTAAACAATAGAATTATTTCTGTTTAATGTCTATTTTAAATATTTTTTTCAAGTAAGCATTAAATTTTGCAGAATTTAAAGTCTTGTAACACAAATGCGTAAATTCCTTTTTATAATTTTAAAATTAAAATTATACAATTTTGAATGCTTAAAATACAAATTACAATTCAAAGATATACAAGACTTATTTTAAAATATTACATCATATTTAATGTCATGACATCATGCATAAAGTCTCATATCGTTCAAGCCTCAAGCATTGTTTAATTCGATTTATATATTATAAAGTTATCCAAGTTTTTCCAAAAAATAAATCGGGATAACTATGAACCAATGGACTAAGTCGGTTTACCAATTCTGTATAGACTTAAAAATAATTAGATGATTCGCAACATTTTGAAAATCTTTTACCAAAAAACATAAGTATTTTTTTCAATATTTCTTTTGTTTATCCAATTTTCTAACATTTTATAATTTCACTTAACTTTTTTGGAAATTATTAATTGTTTTGCCAATAATAACTTTCCCTTAACTTGTAATAGCTAACCACTTTAAAAATATCCAAGCGTAAATGCATTGCTTTTAACCGTTAAAAATTTTGAGCTTTATTTTGTGTTTTTTGTGTTAATAAAAATATTATTTCAACCAAATACACAATGGTACGTTTAAATTAATATTATAGTAAATTTTAATTTGAATACAAGTGTATCAGGTATCATAGGTTGGTTTTTAAGTTCCGTCTTCTTTTCCCCTTTCGACAAATCGGTCTCCGGTATAAAGACTACTATTGGATATAATGATACAGGGGACTAAAATTACATAGATATAAAGTAAATGAACTTCTAGCAAATAACTTAGCTAAGTTGATCCTCCATTATAAATTGACATTTAATAAAAACCGGATTCTCATTGTAAAACGTTTTAATTTTGAAAAGAAATTCCATTAAAATTTTTTAATTGTTTAGTTTTCAATTTTTATACATTTTTAAATCGTCCAAATAATAAATTTAAAAGTTTTTGAACGTTTCTTAAACTAAATCGACTTAAATTGCTATTTAGACAAAAATGCCATTGAAACTTTTACGGAAACGCATGCGTGCCAATTTCATCTTTTTGCTTTTAGTTGTTTAGAGGGTTCTTAGTTAAATAACAATGCCCTTTCATCCGTATTTAAATCTTAAAGTGCTTAAAAGTTAAAAGTTTACAAATATTTAAAATTGATGAAAAAATCTATATAGTAGTTAATCTTGAATTGGGTTTTACTAAACTCAGGTAAAATATTCCAACCTCATTATTAGACAGGTCCAAGACCGAAAAACTCGAGACCAAAACTAGATTTCATATTATGTTGATGAGATTAAAGAAATATGGGAGACCTTATTATTCATATCTTTGTATATCTGGGCATATTTACGGCTGCAGCAATTTACCAAAAATTAAATATTGTTTTATGAATGCCAATAAAATTTATTGTCAGCGTGTGGAAATTAAAAATTTCCCATGCCAGTCACTCTAAATTTGTTTTCTGCAATCCATTTCCTGGGAATGTAAAATACCTAGCTAAAAAAATGGCTGCAAAAAATATTAAAAATAATAGAGAAAATGAAGTAAGTTTTTAAAAGTAAAACTAAATTGATAAATAACAAATATGCTAAAATAAAAACAATCGGACTAATATCCCAATAATAATTCTTAACATACAAATAATCAACTGATCTAGAATGATAAAATTCTTTAAATTGTATGTTTCAGATCAGCAAAAACAAGCAGATGCAACTTCGAGCCTTCTTTCATAGACACTCTAAAAGCGTAAGGAGATAAACTTTTAAAATTAGATAAATATTGTATATGATTTAAAGGCTACACCAGTAGCCGTCCACATTTTCATGTTGCTGGGTGTAACATTATACACAATTATTGGAGTAAGTTATAACAGTACTATTAATATTTGGCGAATTTGACAAAAATTTTTAGGCTATGATTATGCAGAAGATTGAATCAAACGCGCCACAAAGTTACATTTTTATGATATTAATTTTAAAATTCATCTTTACAGCAACTAAGCAGAAAATCTCCTTTTCTCCCGAGAAAAATCTCGAAGCTTATACTAAAGGTATTTCTTGTTAGATTAAATCCTTTAGATAACTTATTGAGCAAAATTTTACCATATTATAATCCACAATTAAATTAATAAAATTTAAAAAATTATTAGATAACAGAAATGAAGAGTTGATACATAGTCCAAAACGCATGCAAAGGCATAATTTCAAATACAGAAGAAATATCCGAGAAAATGATTGCTTAGCTAATATTGTTAAGGTGAGTTATTAGCACAATAGTTTAATTTTGAAGTTTTAAAATTTGTTCTAAACATAAGTATGCTCATGGGCGAACGTGTAACTCAAGTTATATCTTAAAAGTTTTGAAGTCATGTTACAATGCTTCAGCTGAAGGTAGATTTTTCATTTAAGAAAGGCTAGAAATCCGTATATAAACTAAAAATAGTTGCATCGTCTCAACGATACGGCTGGTCATTCAGTAATTCAGTTCTGTTCTGCTTCACAGTTATCACAACAATAGGTTTTAACTTTAAGGTTATGTATTATGTACAATATTTTGGAGTAAATTAAGGTTATGGTAACGTTTCACCTAAGACGTTCACTGGGCAACTATTTTGCATACTCTACGCATTATTAGGTAATAAACATTAAGAACATTTTGTTTAATAATAGAAAACATTGTTCCTACAAGGTATCCCCTTCACACTATTGGCAATAGCAGATTTAGGCAAATTTATCTCCGAAATAATGGAAACGTCGAGTGAAACATGCTTTAAAATTAACAAGTAATCGAATTATTTGTGTTAGAATGAAAAAATTACTATACATTAAAGAAGAATTACTCGCTTAATACGACAAATTCGCGGAAGACCTAAAATTAGTATTATTAACACCTATGTTGATACTAATAACAATCAAGACAAAGGCAGCCATATCATTATCAATATGAACAACAATAAAGTTCAAAGCACTGATCAGAGTTCTATTAATGCTTATCATAAAATATCAAACGAGGTCGAGCGAAAACTTTCTCCTTTTGAAAACCATGATCTAAAATTGAAAGAAAATGTGGCTAAGGAGGTTGAGAATTTGAAAATTTTCAAAAATATTTTAAAAAGAATTCAACTGTTGATGATGAATCAAGTGAAAAAGATGATAAACCTAACTTCAAGCATTCCCAAGCAGTAACCTTGCTCATGTTTTTTCTAATATATGTCCTCCTTGGTGCCTTTATTATGCCTTTTTACGAACCTGATATGGCATTTTTTAAGGTTTCTTATTCTTATATTAAAGTGAAATCATTAAATAGAATTTATTTTAAGGCGATTTATTTCAATTTTGTCTCCCTAACCTCGATTGGTCTTGGCGATATTGTACCTCAAAGGTTTGTAACTCAAAAAACTTCATAATAAAAATTAACTCTCGAAAACCTGAACACGTGATCTAATTTTTGATCAAACTTTTAGTGAATCATACATGGCACTAACGCTGCTTTATATTGCGGTCGGACTTGCTATTACGACAATCGCAATTGAAATAGCGGCAGATTATCTTAAAAAGTTGCATTACTTTGGCAGGAAGATTGAAAATGTTGGAAATGTGGTCATATGGTTTGGGGGAAAAAAGTAGTAACGTTAAATTTAAATATAAATTTGTCATGAGTTTAGATTAACTATGAAGCAATTGGTCAAAAATTTGGGTGATCAATTCAATTTGCCCGTGCATGCTGTCAAAACACTGGACTTAGACAAATTTGTTGATGATGCTATTAAAGTAGAAGAAGGCGAGCTTGAAACCTTAAGACCTCCACCTATAGAACCAAAGGATCTCTTGGAGGATGGGACATTAAATTTTGCTGACGACGATGGAACAGAAGGGAATTTGCGTTTTTTTAGAAACGATTTAAATATTTGATAAATTATCTATAATTTTGATTTAATAATGTTATAAATAACATTTTAATATGCTTTTTATTTTGATTAAAATTGCAGATTGGATTCGTCAAAGATCTCCCTCAACATCGCCAGAACTAGAGAGAAATCCAACGTTTCAACAAAATTCGGAGCATGATCAAGAATTTGACCAAGAACACGAAGAACATGCAACAGAAACGAAGGAAGAAAGTTTGGATCATTCAAAAGATTCTGAAAATTCTGAAAAGGAAATGGAGTCTGAAATTTCTGAAGAGATTATAGATATTTCAACTCTGTATTATGAAGAACCTAAAGAAGACATGATTGCAACTAATTGTGATAAAGAGTCATCTCCTTCAGAAGCTGGTGGTAAGAATTTATAAATTCTTCAGATTATTAAAACAGTGTCGCATACATCACAGTAGATAGGGTTGTTTAAAAATTGTAGATATATGCAAACTTGTATAATTTTTCCAGAAAGACGTAAGTCAAATTACAGCGAGGAAGCATGGCGCCGTTATCTTGAATATCAAAAGGTTTGTGAATTGCATACTCGAATGAAAATAGGACCAAATATAATACAACATTCAATTTTTATTAAATAACTTATAAAATAGCAATGGCGTAAATACCGTCAAACAAAAACCATAGCAACGGGACTTAATATTCCAGCGGATATGCAATATACAAAAGGAAGAGGATTATCAGAAGGAACGTCTAAAATGATCGGAACTAGTAAAATTGATCAAGAAGTTCGGGTTCCAAATGCAAGTTTTTTAATCTAATGATGGATAGATAAAATGACATTTTTTGGTCTCTGTCTTGATCTATGATTTCTATTGAGCGAGTAAAACTCAATAGAAATTAATATTAATAGACATTGATAACAAGACTTGTTTCTCATATTTCGGGAAATTCTATAGACCTTTAGCAAATATCCAGAATATCAATGATGAATTTAATTTAGATGAAATCCTTATCACACAGAGGATCTGCTTCCAAACCAAGTAAATTAAGATTTTATTAAAATAAAAGCAATTTTTAATAGCGAAACAAATTCAAAAGAGAAAATACTAATTCCATGATAATTCTACAGATTGTAAGTTTAATTAATTGAAGAAATAAACATTTCATTTATCGTTATCAATCTTTTTTACAAAAATAAATTTTATTATTATTTGTTCAGTGGATTATAAAATATCCCAATAGGAAGAATAGTGATATAAGAGCTATGCCGATTGTATGCAAAGCCAGAAAACAGCGAATCCAATCACAACGGAAACTGAAAGTAAGAAATATAAACAAGTGTAGATATCTTTTATTCCCAGGAAAAAAAATTTAGGGATTTAAAGTTTTAAAAGCAGGTCTCTGGAAACATTATATCCATAGTTTATTTCGAGATAGGTATTTGTTTAAGATTGATTTTTTACCGATTAATAATGTCATCCCTTTGTATGTTAACATTTTCATTTGTTGTCTCCATATTTTTTTTCATTTCGAGATGTTCTAAATCTTCATGATCAGAGGTAGACTCGGAGATTTTAACAAACTTGTTTATCAACGTACTGATGCTGAAAACATAAAAAATAAATTCAAATTACTAGGATATTTTCTATATCCGTCTATTTTCTCTATATTCGTTTATAGACACGAATACCTATATTAGGTTATTTTTTATTTAATAATCTGTAATTTTCAACACTTACTATATTAGGGAATCCCAAGGTGGATGATTGTAAATTCTCAATTTGGTAAGAGCCATTATTGTAGATGAAAAGATAATTGAAACCATGTTCAATACCAACCCAAGCTCATGAATTTCAACTGGTACGAATTTAAAAGTTTAGAAGAATATATTTATTACCGATTATAGGAGTTTTCGCTGAAGAACCTAAAAAATTATTGAAAATAAAATCTATCACAGTTGAAACAAAAAATTTGATTTTAGCATACCCATTTGTGGAGCAATCCTTTGGCTGAAGAGTAAAAGGTTGATGAATTGAAGTAGAAGTAAGAATAATTTAGCATAAATTTGGGACTTTATACTCGTAATTAAACCAAAAACAGGCGCAGAAAAAAGCAAAAATCCACATGCCAAAGTCTAAATTAGATAATTCAAAATCAACATAATTAAATAATTTTTTAAATTTAAATTATTTACTGGAATTTCAAGCTCAATTTTCAACGTAGAGGAAGATCGTTGCAAATTCAAACAAAATCCCATCTAAAGACAATTTTCAATAACAGTATTTATTAAAGTAAAACTTGAGTTATGTTTGCAGGATCTTGATATACTGAGGGAATTGTTCCTGTTAACGACCAGCCATAGTCACGAAAGTATTTTGGATCGGTAAAAACTGGCTGGCCATCAGTAATAAGCTTTATCAACGGCTATTAATTTGAATAAATTAAATTTAGAGCCAAGTTTTAAGTTTAAATTACTCTGCTAATAAGTGGCTCCAAATAGAAACAACACCTGAAAATTAATCTCAATTATAAACAATAATTTTTAGAAATATTATAGTCGAATAATTTCGATGAATCTAGGTGAAAATAAAGTAACATAGTCTCTAAAATTTATTAATTTTTGAGACTATGTTTATCTCAAAATTTTTTAATACTTATAAATATCATTCGGAAAATGTTTAAAGTCAGTATCGTCGCAGAATGTTGAAAACTTGAAGCCCATTATTGCTGAAACATTTCCAGTATTTTTAACTTCTATCTTACGAACTTCCATTTGCTCATTATCATTGTGTAAAGCTGTTTCGTAACCCTAGAATTTGACGAACTTGTCTTGTTAAATAAAACATTTGACTAACCTGTCCTGTTAAATAAGGCACCCAAATATGACTCGCAGATCCTATACGGATTTGTGGAACTTTAAATTGAGACTGGTCCCAAACAAGGCGTTCATCTCTCCATCTCAACTCTAGATAACCAACAATGTCAAGGCTGCGAAGAAATTCATTCTAGATAATATTTTATTTAATTTTATTTAATTGCATCTCATGGATTAGGTAAATAGTAAAGAAATTAAATCCTGCGTTTTAGTAATTTTGAATAAATTTAAAACCAGAAAATACAGAATCTTAACCGCAACAAGAAAATTCATGAATTATACCAATTGAAAGTGCTGAATAGTAATTTTGGCAACAAGCAATCTGATCTTAATTGAAAAATATCCTCTAGTAAGTACATCTGTAGTAGTATGTATTATACCTGACTATAGTTTGGTGGCATGGAGGCAATAGGTTGTAAAGAGGCAGTGCCAAAATGAAGTCCTGACGAGGTAACCTGTTGCTGAGCGCGATTTGCGAGGAAGTAATAAACGCAATTCTCAAATGAAGCATATTGATGATGATTAAGACTTTCTATATCTATATTTAAGATATTTATAATCATCACACTTAAATCACAATACTCGTAATATTTTCAAAAAAGCGTTTGCATTCCATAATGCTTGCGCTATTTAGGTTGTTGAACCCAAAAATTGAATTTGGTCCAAGCAATTGTAGTATTTGTGGATGGACAATTTTTATATGGCATGGAAAAATCAACAAAAATATAATTTGAGCTAGTAAATACTGAATCGGCATAATCCTAAATATGAATTTTAAATTATTAGAAAAAGTTGAAAATAGTGATAAACAATTAAAAATATTGATATTGCTCAAAATGAGCTAACGTTTTACACTTTGTGTTCATAAAAAGATTAAAAGCTTACTGCATATTAAAACATAGCGCAAAGACAATAAAAGCCTGTTTTACTGCAAAAATGAGCTAATTCATGATACCTGTTTGTTTTTGCATTAAATGAACAACTATTAACAAATAAGTACATTTAGTTATTTTATTAATGAAAATATATTTCTTTAATGAAAATATAGTTTATTTTTGTATAAATAATGAATTAACAATTGAGAAACTTTAGTTAATTTGACGTTTGTGAATAATAAGATTCAAGGAATGGACAAAATGTTATTTATTAAAATATTTCGAATTATTGTCCAATGTTATAATTACAATCATAATCTGACAATATCATTTAGTCATTTTGTTCAATATGCAACTCATTGTTTGAACTGCCATTTTGTTGCATCTGCACAACAGGTATTCGCAATTGGGTATGCGCATCTATGATAGGTAGATTTAAATGCTCGTCGCATTTCACACGGTTTGGGTGTGACATTCCGCGCTTTTCCAACTATTAACCAAATGAATATTTTTAAAAATCAAAATAAAGAAAAATACAATTCTTCCAAGTGCGTGAAGGGTCATACAAACAGAATATAAGTCGCGAGCCTCAAAAAGATCGTCGCCTAAATTAAAGTATTTTATTGGTGAGAAAATAACAAACTTTGAAATGTTTCGTGATCTGAAACTCCTTGTTTTCTAGCCCAGTCGACGAAACTGTTTATGTTCTCCATACAAGCAAACCTAGTGATAAGGAAATATAGTAGTGTAACTTTTTAACTACCTTGTAGTTAAAGGTGTTTCTCCAACCCAAACAAGCTTTCTTGGTCGATGTATATTTGGAATTGCATCAGGTTGAATTTCGTTGGCTAATCTTTAAGGGGAAAAAAGAAAAAAAAACAAATAACAATTAATTTTAAATTAATAGATGTTATAATTAAACTTATTAAATCTATATCAAAACTGCAAATAAAGATTCCAAATAGTCTTAAATTTGCAGTGGGTCTTAATGGTAAAAAATTTAAATTTTCAGAATAATGTTGTTGAAAGACTGACAAAACGTTTAATTAAAGTAATTACTTGCATAGAATTTGCCCATCCTTAAGAACAGTATGAAAATTTTCACGTTCACCGCTTGTGTTAAATTTTCCGCCAAGCAACTCTTTTATCCATAATAAAAGAAGTTCAGCTTCATGTGGGTTGTATTTGTTAGTTTGCTGAAAAGACAATCTAGTCTGTGTCAGGATTGTTTATAAAACAATATAAACCTTAGCTAGGACAGTTACACTTAAACCACTTGCCGATGATCTATAGGCCATTGAAATTTCAATAAAAAGACAAAAATCGGCCTAAATGACATTATTATGTTAATCAAATTTAAATTTTTGTGATATTAAAATAAAAACTTTATAAAATGAAAAATGCAACGTAAGTGAATATAAAATTAAATTACTATAAAATGAAATCATATTGAATAGAACAATAAAAAAGAATAAAAAGAATTAGAACTCAAATATCTCTGAAAAAGCTGGGAATATATAAAAACATGAACTAAGAATGAGAACAGCTGTCAATATTGAAAGCAAACAATAAACAGATCAATAGTTAAATAATTAAAGTAGCAAAATGCAGAAATAATACAATATTGTGAGACAATAAACCGAGATATATGTAGGAGCGCAAAAGCGAAAACCATAGGGAGGACAAAGCACATTTATGGAGGTGACAAATTGGTGATTACAAAGATGAGTTAAGCTAAAAAATGTAACAAAGTTGCTCCCGTCACATTTAAAGGTCTTGAAATTCTTTTAATGACATATTATATTTTTTTGAATACTTTTCCGTTTACATGTCAGATTTTATTCTGTTTCAATTTTCTATAATTTCCGAAATTACAAAGAATAAGCAATTCAGAAAGACTAAGCATCTAATCAAACTAGAATGACCTCCACTTTGTCACTTCTAACACCGGTTTTTCTCATATAAACCCTAAATCAGTACCGTGAATTCCTGTATGTATTGGCATAGCATTCCAAACTAAACTGCAAAACTTAACACAGGTTCAGGCTTTCATACCTCCCAGTTATATCCAAAGGCACGGGTTCTTATTCAATAGGTGTAGACAGTAGGGCACTAGGCATAGGCTTCCTTAGACGTTGACCTAGACTTTGAACTTTGAATTACCCCCACCCCCTTCCGGACCCAAATGTACAATGATCAATTGTCCCAATATCAATTGTCCCAGTGACCAAATGTCCCAGTGACCAAATGTCCAGTGATCAATTGTCCCAGTGACCAAATGTCCAATGATCAATTGTCCAGTGATCAATTGTCCCAGTGATCAATTGTCCCCGGACCAAATGTCCAGTGATCAATTGTCCCTTACTGTCCCACACTGAAAATCTGGCACCAAAAATGACCGACCCCCCTTTTTTTAAAACCCTCTCCACAGGTTCAGGCTTTCATACCTCCCAGTTATATCCAAAGGCACGGGTTCTTATTCAATAGGTGTAGACAGTAGGGCACTAGGCATAGGCTTCCTTAGACGTTGACCTAGACTTTGAACTTTGAATTACCCCCACCCCCTTCCGGACCCAAATGTACAATGATCAATTGTCCCAATATCAATTGTCCCAGTGACCAAATGTCCAGTGATCAATTGTCCCAGTGACCAAATGTCCAATGATCAATTGTCCAGTGATCAATTGTCCCAGTGATCAATTGTCCCCGGACCAAATGTCCAGTGATCAATTGTCCCTTACTGTCCCACACTGAAAATCTGGCACCAAAAATGACCGACCCCCCTTTTTTTAAAACCCTCTCCACAGGTTCAGGCTTTCATACCTCCCAGTTATATCCAAAGGCACGGGTTCTTATTCAATAGGTGTAGACAGTAGGGCACTAGGCATAGGCTTCCTTAGACGTTGACCTAGACTTTGAACTTTGAATTACCCCCACCCCCTTCCGGACCCAAATGTACAATGATCAATTGTCCCAATATCAATTGTCCCAGTGACCAATTGTCCCAGTGACCAAATGTCCAGTGATCAATTGTCCCAGTGACCAAATGTCCAATGATCAATTGTCCAGTGATCAATTGTCCCAGTGATCAATTGTCCCCGGACCAAATGTCCAGTGATCAATTGTCCCTTACTGTCCCACACTGAAAATCTGGCACCAAAAATGACCGACCCCCCTTTTTTTAAAACCCTCTCCACAGGTTCAGGCTTTCATACCTCCCAGTTATATCCAAAGGCACGGGTTCTTATTCAATAGGTGTAGACAGTAGGGCACTAGGCATAGGCTTCCTTAGACGTTGACCTAGACTTTGAACTTTGAATTACCCCCACCCCCTTCCGGACCCAAATGTACAATGATCAATTGTCCCAATATCAATTGTCCCAGTGACCAAATGTCCAGTGATCAATTGTCCCAGTGACCAAATGTCCAATGATCAATTGTCCAGTGATCAATTGTCCCAGTGATCAATTGTCCCCGGACCAAATGTCCAGTGATCAATTGTCCCTTACTGTCCCACACTGAAAATCTGGCACCAAAAATGACCGACCCCCCTTTTTTTAAAACCCTCTCCACAGGTTCAGGCTTTCATACCTCCCAGTTATATCCAAAGGCACGGGTTCTTATTCAATAGGTGTAGACAGTAGGGCACTAGGCATAGGCTTCCTTAGACGTTGACCTAGACTTTGAACTTTGAATTACCCCCACCCCCTTCCGGACCCAAATGTACAATGATCAATTGTCCCAATATCAATTGTCCCAGTGACCAAATGTCCCAGTGACCAAATGTCCAGTGATCAATTGTCCCAGTGACCAAATGTCCAATGATCAATTGTCCAGTGATCAATTGTCCCAGTGATCAATTGTCCCCGGACCAAATGTCCAGTGATCAATTGTCCCTTACTGTCCCACACTGAAAATCTGGCACCAAAAATGACCGACCCCCCTTTTTTTAAAACCCTCTCCACAGGTTCAGGCTTTCATACCTCCCAGTTATATCCAAAGGCACGGGTTCTTATTCAATAGGTGTAGACAGTAGGGCACTAGGCATAGGCTTCCTTAGACGTTGACCTAGACTTTGAACTTTGAATTACCCCCACCCCCTTCCGGACCCAAATGTACAATGATCAATTGTCCCAATATCAATTGTCCCAGTGACCAAATGTCCAGTGATCAATTGTCCCAGTGACCAAATGTCCAATGATCAATTGTCCAGTGATCAATTGTCCCAGTGATCAATTGTCCCCGGACCAAATGTCCAGTGATCAATTGTCCCTTACTGTCCCACACTGAAAATCTGGCACCAAAAATGACCGACCCCCCTTTTTTTAAAACCCTCTCCACAGGTTCAGGCTTTCATACCTCCCAGTTATATCCAAAGGCACGGGTTCTTATTCAATAGGTGTAGACAGTAGGGCACTAGGCATAGGCTTCCTTAGACGTTGACCTAGACTTTGAACTTTGAATTACCCCCACCCCCTTCCGGACCCAAATGTACAATGATCAATTGTCCCAATATCAATTGTCCCAGTGACCAATTGTCCCAGTGACCAAATGTCCAGTGATCAATTGTCCCAGTGACCAAATGTCCAATGATCAATTGTCCAGTGATCAATTGTCCCAGTGATCAATTGTCCCCGGACCAAATGTCCAGTGATCAATTGTCCCTTACTGTCCCACACTGAAAATCTGGCACCAAAAATGACCGACCCCCCTTTTTTTAAAACCCTCTCCACAGGTTCAGGCTTTCATACCTCCCAGTTATATCCAAAGGCACGGGTTCTTATTCAATAGGTGTAGACAGTAGGGCACTAGGCATAGGCTTCCTTAGACGTTGACCTAGACTTTGAACTTTGAATTACCCCCACCCCCTTCCGGACCCAAATGTACAATGATCAATTGTCCCAATATCAATTGTCCCAGTGACCAATTGTCCCAGTGACCAAATGTCCAGTGATCAATTGTCCCAGTGACCAAATGTCCAATGATCAATTGTCCAGTGATCAATTGTCCCAGTGATCAATTGTCCCCGGACCAAATGTCCAGTGATCAATTGTCCCTTACTGTCCCACACTGAAAATCTGGCACCAAAAATGACCGACCCCCCTTTTTTTAAAACCCTCTCCACAGGTTCAGGCTTTCATACCTCCCAGTTATATCCAAAGGCACGGGTTCTTATTCAATAGGTGTAGACAGTAGGGCACTAGGCATAGGCTTCCTTAGACGTTGACCTAGACTTTGAACTTTGAATTACCCCCACCCCCTTCCGGACCCAAATGTACAATGATCAATTGTCCCAATATCAATTGTCCCAGTGACCAATTGTCCCAGTGACCAAATGTCCAGTGATCAATTGTCCCAGTGACCAAATGTCCAATGATCAATTGTCCAGTGATCAATTGTCCCAGTGATCAATTGTCCCCGGACCAAATGTCCAGTGATCAATTGTCCCTTACTGTCCCACACTGAAAATCTGGCACCAAAAATGACCGACCCCCCTTTTTTTAAAACCCTCTCCACAGGTTCAGGCTTTCATACCTCCCAGTTATATCCAAAGGCACGGGTTCTTATTCAATAGGTGTAGACAGTAGGGCACTAGGCATAGGCTTCCTTAGACGTTGACCTAGACTTTGAACTTTGAATTACCCCCACCCCCTTCCGGACCCAAATGTACAATGATCAATTGTCCCAATATCAATTGTCCCAGTGACCAAATGTCCAGTGATCAATTGTCCCAGTGACCAAATGTCCAATGATCAATTGTCCAGTGATCAATTGTCCCAGTGATCAATTGTCCCCGGACCAAATGTCCAGTGATCAATTGTCCCTTACTGTCCCACACTGAAAATCTGGCACCAAAAATGACCGACCCCCCTTTTTTTAAAACCCTCTCCACAGGTTCAGGCTTTCATACCTCCCAGTTATATCCAAAGGCACGGGTTCTTATTCAATAGGTGTAGACAGTAGGGCACTAGGCATAGGCTTCCTTAGACGTTGACCTAGACTTTGAACTTTGAATTACCCCCACCCCCTTCCGGACCCAAATGTACAATGATCAATTGTCCCAATATCAATTGTCCCAGTGACCAATTGTCCCAGTGACCAAATGTCCAGTGATCAATTGTCCCAGTGACCAAATGTCCAATGATCAATTGTCCAGTGATCAATTGTCCCAGTGATCAATTGTCCCCGGACCAAATGTCCAGTGATCAATTGTCCCTTACTGTCCCACACTGAAAATCTGGCACCAAAAATGACCGACCCCCCTTTTTTTAAAACCCTCTCCACAGGTTCAGGCTTTCATACCTCCCAGTTATA